TTTTTTGGTAGCGATCGGTGCCGGCGGGCCTCCGGTCAGGCGTCATCTACCCCTCCCGATCCCCCCCATTCTTTACTTTTTCATTCTTTTAGTTTCTCTTTCACTCTCCGTCACTCTCTCTCTCTTTTCTTCTTCTTTTTTCTCTTTTATTTCCTCTGCGGGCGTGGGTTAAGTAGTAGCCCAGCAGTCTCTCTGGTGTGTACTACCGGCGATTATATTGGCCTAGGCAACATAGGTCTTCACCGCTATTCAACAGCTTCTTGGCATCCCCGGCACTAATCCAGGTTCTATCATTCGTGCCTTTGGTAATACATATTGTTTTTGCTTGTTTTTGCTAGTTTTTTGCCTGCCATTACAATATTTTGCCTTAGACTTTGTTTCAAATTTGATTTTCCATTCTTTAGTTGTGTTTGGATTTGCTTTGATTTCTTTTTCTGTAACTAGGGTCTTATTTAGTTGACTTTATTTCTTGCATAGTTTATCTTGTCGTGGGTTGTAGTGGTGCTAGCATAGTATCCGTTATATTATAGTGGCAGGTGTGCATGATGGCAGAGTGAGGTCATGTCCTCGGGTAGGGCAGGGGGTGGGGGAAAGGGTAGTAAAAGGGTAAGGGCTCAGCTAGGCTGTGTGTTGGGTCCTAGAATATAAGGACATTGACAGGGAAGTCTATAGAACTAGGGAAGATTCTCCAGAAGAGGAGGATCAATATAGCGTGTCTCCAGGAGACTAGATGTGGGGGCACTAGGGCACGTGAGGTTAACGGGTATAAATTGTGGTACGCAGGGGGAGCTGGGGGAACTAGGGGCAAGAACGGGGTAGGTATCTTACTAGAAAGGGATCTCAGGGAGCTGGTGGTTGATGTTAAGAGGGTGAACGATACATTGATAGTTATTAAGCTAGTGGTTGGTGGGCTCACTTTAAGCGTGGCTAGTCATACGCACCACAAGCGGGATTGGGGGGAGGAGGTCAAGAGGCAATTCTGGGAGGATTTAGATGAGGTGGTGCGTGGTATTCTGCACACCGACAAGATTTTCATAGGATGTGATGTTAATGGCCATATTCACGAGATGACTAAGGGCTATGATGATGTGCATGAAGGGTTCTATTATGGGGTTAGTAATGAAGGAGGTTCTTCGTTGCTGGATTTTTCTAGAGCCTTTGATTTGGTTTTAGCTAACTCGTGCTTTCAGAAGAGGGAAGACCACTTTGTCACGTTCCAGAGCGTGGTGGCCAATACTCAGATTGCTTACTTACTCTACAAGATGAGGGATAGAGATTTTGCACTTATTGCAAGGTTATTCCGAGTGAGTCATTTTCGACCCAACATAGGCTCTTGGTTATGGACTTGGAGAATAAGAGGGAGAAGCAGCAGAGAGCGGTGTTTGGTTAACCTAAGATCAAGTGGGGAGCCTTGACTGAGGATAAAGCCCAGGCATTGTGGGGGAGACATTGTCAGATATGGGAGCTTGGAAGAAGTTGTGGGGACGCGAGTAGTATGTGGACATCGACAACGAACTGCATTAGGGAAGCTGCTAGGGCGGTGTTAGGGGTCACAAAGGGTTTCTCCAGGGGCCGCAAAGGTGACTGGTGGATTAATGGAGAGGTCCAACGTAAAGTAGAAGCCAAGAAAGATGCGTATATGAAGCTAGTGGAGAATGCCGACAAGGAAGAAAGGAGGAAGCTTAGGGAGTGATATAAGAAGGCTAAGAAAGAGGTAAAGTTATCAATCACGACGGCTAAGATCGCGGCATTTGAACTCATGTATGCGGAACTTGGGGTGAGAGGTGGTGACAAAAGACTATTCAAGTTAACCAAGGTTAGGGAGAGGAAGGCCCGGGACCTGAACCGAGTGAGGTGCATCAAAGAAGAGGATGGCAAGGTATTAGTAGAAGAGGCATGCATTAGGCGTAGGTGGTAGTAATACTTCCACAAACTCTTGAATGAGGATGGTGACGGGGACATTGTGATTGCCGAGTTAGAGAACTCGGAGAACCGGTGTGATTTTAGGTTTTGTACGCATATTAAGGTTGAGGAGGTAATGTGGAAGATGAATAGAGGCAGGGCGGCTAGGCCAGACGAGATCCCGGTTGAATTTTGGAAGGCTGTGGGACGAGTAGGCTTAGAGTAGCTTACTGGATTGTTTAATGTCATTTTTAGGACTAAGAAGATGCCCAAAGAATGGAGTTGGAGTTTGATGGTCCTGTTGTACAAGAACAAGGGTGATATAAAATATTATAACAACTACAGTGGTATCAAGCTACTGAGTAACACTATGAAAGTGTGGGCGAGGGTGAGGAGGTGTGTGTCTATTTCGGAGAATCAGTTCGGTTTCATGTCGGGGCATTCGACCACATAAGCCATTCATTTGGTGAGGAGGTTGATGGAGCAGTATCAGGAGAGGAAGAGGGACTTGCATATGGTGTTTGTCCATTTAGAAAAATCTTACGATAAAATCCCAAAGGAGGTTCTATGGAGATGTCTGGATGTTAGTGGTGTTCCAGTAGAGTACATTATGGTGATTAAGGATATGTACAATGGAGTGAAGACTCAGGTGAGGATTGTGGGAGGAGACTCAGACTATTTTCCTGTGATGATGGGGTTACATTAGGGTTCAGCTCTTAGCCCATTTTTATTTGCACTGGCGATTGACGTGATAACGTGCCATATTCAGGGTGAGGTGCCATGGTGTATGTTATTTGCAGATGACATAGCGCTAATAGATGAGACATACCACAGGGTTAACGATTGGCGGGAGTTGTGGAGGTAGACCCTTGAGTCTAAAGATTTCAAGTTGAGTAGGACTAAAACTGAATACTTGGAGTGCAAGTTCAGTGTGGGGACGCATGAAACAGAAGTGGAAGTGAAGCTTGATTCACAAGTCATCCCCAAGAGAGATAGTCTCAAATACCTTGGGTCTGCTATTCAGGGGAACGAGGAGATTGACGAGCATGTTACGCATCATGTTGGAGTAGGGTAGATGAAATGGAGGCTTGCGTCTGGTGTTTTGTGTGATAGAAATGTGCCACCGAGACTTAAGGGCAAGTTCTATAAAGTAGTAGTTAGGCCAACTATGTTGTATGGAGCCGAGTGTTAGCCAATTAAGAAATCCCATGTCTAGAAGATGAAAGTAGCAGAGATGAGGATGATGAGATGGATTTTTGGTCATACCAGGAAGGACCGAATTAGGAATGAAGTTATTAGGGACTAGGTGGATATGGCCCTTGTGGAAGACAAGTTGCGGGAGTCGAGGCTGATATGGTTCGGGCATGTGAAGACGAGAGACACCTATGCTCAAGTGAGGAGATGCAAGAGGTTATCCATAGAGGGTTAGAGGAGAGGTGGAGGGAGGCCTAGGAAGTACTGGGGGTAGGTGATTAGGCAGGACATGACACTACTTCAGCTTACCAAGGACATGACCCTCGATAGGGAGATGTGGGGGTCTAGGATTAGGGTTGTGGGTTAGTCGAGAGTCTCTTCTAGTAGTATTAGTATTATTCTTGTAGTCTCCTATTCCGAGTTCCTTGTTGATTAGACGATGTGGCATTATTGCCGGTAGTTTTTGCACTTCTTTAATAACTTCGTATTCCTAGTTTCTTTGATATTACATGTTGTGCTATTTGTTTCTGCTATCCGATTTCCTTGCCATTCTTACTGTTTTCTTATTGTGTCCTTTTCACTGTTCCTGAGCCGAGGGTATATCGGAAACAACCTCTCTTCCTTCATAAGGTAGGGGTAAGGTCTACATACACATTACCCTCCACAGACCTCACGTGTGGGATTACACTGGGTTTGTTGTTGTTGTTGTTGTTGTTGTTGTTATCTTCAAGTAGAAGGAGTTGAATTTGAGGCAGCGAAGGTGGCTTTTTTACTAAGAGACTATGACTGAGAGCGTCAAGCCCAAATATGCATAAAGCATAAACTGTGGCCTTAAGCCCAAAGATGCATAAAGTATAAACTTCTTCAGACCTTAGATTATAACTTCCATGTCTTTCAATATTCAGTCAGCTCAGTATTTAGTCAGTTCAGTAGTCATTCACTTTTGACGTTCAATTCTCTTGAATTCGAGTTCTAAGGTTTATTTTCTCAACAATGATGTCTCGATCGAATATCTAATAATTTGAAGGATTTACCCATATTAATAAGATGTTGGAGAATTGAAATTAACTTAGAATCATCGTTAGAACTTACATTGGATGATGGAGGGACCTTGGGGGAATTAGGTTCTTAAGAACTTCACTTTCTAGAGTTAGTTTTCGTATTTTGGGGTGTGGGGGATGAGGTAGTGCTTTAAATAAGTGAACACGTCCCAAAAATTGAGGAGGAAATAAAAGTGGCTCGGATACCATCGTCGGCACAGGGCATCATCAGAGGCGCGCCAAAATAACAGTGCAAGGCGCCATCAGAGGGACCAAAACTACATGGCCTTGCACTGTGAGGGGCGCTAAGGTTAATGCCCTGGACAGTGCCTTGCACAGTCAATGGCTATGAGTTTTCATGACCTTGCCCTATCTAAGGCTGTGAATTTTCATGGCCTTGCACTATCTAAGGCTGGAAGTCACACCTTCCATAAACTTAGTAGATTTGATCGAATATTTAGCAGCTTACTCTCCGTCTGGATTCCAAAACAACTATTTCAATCCATACTCATCCCGTTAGGATGTCACATGTCTAAAATATCAAATTAATACTCATTTAACACATCCACACCTAGTCCAAATTTATGGGGTGTTACATTATCTCCCCCTTGGGATCATTTGTCCTTGAATGATTGTCCTTTATATAACTACAGCTAACTCTGGACAGTGAACTGTCATGAGCGCATGCATACTAAGCTGCATAAATACATGATTACTCAACTGCTGAGATACTGAACTGAATTGGTACTAAACTGAATAACTACTGAACTAACTGAATATTTAGTTGACTGAATACTGAAACACATGGAGGTTATAATCTAAGGTCTGAATGAAAAGGTTAGTTACCTCCAATATTTCTCCAAAATATCTTCCAGCTAACAAAGCATAACACAAGCCTCACAGGGCATCATAATACTCACAACATGAAACATATACGTGAAAACTGGTTTGGCATAAATATTTGAGTACTAAACTGACATCAATATCTGAGTACTAAGCTGACATGAATATCTGAGTATTGGAATGACATGACTATTTGACACTCGAAACTTGAATTTTATAGCATGACGCGTGAAATACTAGGTGTAAAATTGCCAATTCTGGTGGCAACTCTAATTCATAAGCTACTTGTCCGATCATTTGTATGATCCTATACAGCCAAATGTATCTGGGGTTGAGCTTTCCTTTCTTCCCAAATCATATAACACCTTTCATAGGTGAAACTTTCAGAAACACCCAATCATCAACTTGCAATTCTAAGTCTCTGCATCGTACATTCGAATAGGACTTTTGGCCACTCTGAGCCGTCTTCAAACACTATTGAATCAACTTTACTTTCTCCATAGCATGATAGACCAAATCCAGTCCCAACAACTCTGCCTCGCCAACTTCGAACCAACCAATTGGCGATCTACACCTTCACCCATACAGAGCTTCGTACAATGCCATTTTGATACTACAATGGTAATTGTTATTATAAGAAAGATCAATAACAGGTATGTGATCATCCCAGATACCTTTAAATCAAGGACATATCCTCAAGTGTCTGAATAGTGCACTCTGCCTGGCCATCTATCTGAGGATGAAAAACTGTGCTGAGGTTCACCCTTGTGCCCAATACTTTCTGAAAGGATTTCCAAAAGTTCGCGGTAAACTGAGCACCACAATATGAGATGATTGAATAAGGAGTCCTATGCAATCGGACAATTTCCTGAATATACAACTTGGCATAATCCTCTGCAGAATCTTTGGTCTTTACTAGAAAGAAGTATGCTGACTTGGTAAGTCAATCTACAATCACCCAATCAAATAATACTTTCAAAATAAGCAAGATACTCCTGTTATAAAGTTCATATTTACCATCTCCACTAAAGAATATGCATATTCTATGGTAAAATAATGGCCTTTTGCTGCTCGACTTTCACTTGCTGACAATTCAGACACTTGGCCACAAAGTGTGCGATGTTCTTTATCATGTCGTTCCACCAATAAATATCCTTCACTTCAGCTACTAAGGAGGAGCATGTCCTGTTCTGGACAACAACTCCACCATCTTTGGAGTCTGAAAGTTGAACTCCTAGCTTGGCTAGCGGTGAACTTCTTTCACCATAGTTCTCTTGTTTGCCTCAATCATGAGCTATACTTCCCATACTTGATTATCTATTTAAGGTAGTTCTTGAAAACACTTATAGTATTGTTGTGAGCTATGTACTTGACCATTATTCCGAAGATTAAGGTCTTGTGCAGTGGCACTACCCTCATGATACATAATTAGGCATGATTTTATATTTTTCATATCCCATGCTAATTATGCGGGTTTCAAATCTACAACCGGGCTTACTGATGATTTTCACATGTCCCCCTTCGACTAAAGGTTAAGGTCTTGTACTTGTGGAACCTTTCATTTTGTTGGGATACAAACAACTATTCGTATCTTCTGCCATTCTTTGCACTTTACGTCAATGATAACTCATTTTCATACTTACTTATGAGCAATATTTCTTACTAGGAAAAATAGAACTACTTAAATAAATGAAAATTTAATGTAGTCACAACT